AGAGAGAGAGAGAGAGAGAGTTTACAAAAGTGGTCTTAATTTCAAATCATCCCTCACATTTTGAGAAATTTATTTTTCTAAAAAAATCATTTTGTTTAGTAAAATTATGTTTTTTTATCAATATGGAAAGTTTTTTTCTATATTGCTTAATAAAATTATCTTTCGAATAAAAATATATTTTTTAGTAAAAAATTATGTTTTTTGATAAATATGGGAACTATTTTTCTATTTTGCTTAACAAAATTATTTTTTTGATAAAATCATGGTTTTTTAATAAAACTATGTTTTATGATAAATATGGGAAGTGGTTTTCCATTTTGCTTAGTAAAATTATTTTTTTGATAAAATTATGGTTTTTTAATGAAATTATGTTTTATGATAAATATAGTAAGTGTTTTTCTATCTTGCTAAATAAAAATATTTTTTGATCAAATTCTTTGTTCTATTGTTCTTATTTTTGATAAAATCAATGCACAACCCACTGATATGGATATGGTAAATACCTATAAGAACAGTAGAACATATCAATATGCAGTGCATTGATTTTTCGTTTTGCTGCATATCGTGAGATGTACTTTTTGTGAAGTAGACATTATTTAACTTCATCACAAAAGTATTATATGAATTATGCTTTATCTAACTATATGGAAGAGGTCCTTTCCATTTCTTGTCTTAATTAGTCGGCATTTTTATTTGATTTAATAGCATCAAGCTTTCATTTCTAATGTGAGCGATTTTTGTACAAAAAAAACTAGAAAGTTTTCAATGTAAGATTCGGGATGAATACGTTAATTCTCGGAAGAATATGTTACATGACAAAAATATATTCAAAAAATATCCTAAGATATTTTTATGTACAGGACGATAGTATTCAAAAATTAATTTATAAAAAGTTGTTTCAATATTTTTTTTTTGTAAGATAAATATATGTAATAAGATATTATACACTTAATCTAAGTATTTCTATTTTTTTATTTTTTTTTTGGAGTTTCGGACCCATTTTTTTTTAAAAAAAATATGCTTGATCGGTTAGTCCGATTAACCAACCCGGTTAGTTTGGTTCCGATTCAAACCGCTCCCAACCCCATATCTTGCTCTGGTTCGATTTTGTGAACACTGCCTAGGCCCAATAAAAACTTCATCCTTTAATTAAAGGGTAAGGTTTCTAGGGTCCTTAATATAGAGTATCACAAATATAAAGCTCACTACAAAAAGGACTCACACACATTTTCTCGTAAACATAAAGTCTGAATGATCATAAAGTGGACTCCCATTTACACTCCATAAATAAAGTTAACCCAAAAGAGATTCTATTCTCGTGGGAGTAGAACGTCCATTTACTGCCTCAAGTAAAACCCCATTTAGAATTTAAATTTAGGACTTTAAATTCGGAAGGTAACCTCTTCGACCCAGAGATTAAACTAATAAAAAAAAATCTAAATTTATTTTTTATGCACTTGAAAAATATAATATCTCGAGATTGAATAAAGACCATCTCATTTTGATATGGTGAGATCTAAATGTTAGAAAACTCAAATTTTAAATTTTTTTTTTTAAGAATAATCACTTAATAATTCTTAAATAGTTTCCAAAATTCAAGATCAAAAAAATACTCCTAAATAAGTCTTCCGACTGAGGGAGTAGAAATAAAATATGCTTATGAGAGAGCATAGTTTATGTGCTCTTCAGTTAAGATTGGAATAAATTGCAAACAACCAAATCAAGTTTCTCAAAGGCCTATGTACAGTTCGAACCACATCCTGCCCAATTATTGTTGTAAAAACAAATACTTCAACAATTTTGGGCTCTTAGAAATCTTATTTTCTAGTTTTAGTAGACTGCTATATATTCCTTTTAATCGGAAAATTCAGCTTTAACTGTCTTCCTTTTTTCGTCCCATTTATCGGACACATTCATGATTTCTTTTACTAGATTATACTTTTTTTTGGTAAATCAGTTGGGAATAGGGGTGTCAAACAAAAATTATATTAACAATAAAAAATTTGAAAAATACAGGATCAAATGCAATTACATACCTTAACTTCATCTTCTTTTCCATCTCCACTCATGCATCTATGTTGAAACCCTAAGCAAGCTGCCAATTGCCAACCATTATTGACCTCAAGAAGCATAAGTTTTATGAAATAGTATTATGAAAAAAGTTGAATGTGAACATTGGGAATCCATATCTATAAGTAACCCTCATTATAATTAGTGAAAATCTCATTGTAATAAGCAATCTGTGAACCCTAACATGTAGGTTGAAATTCTAAGGTTCCAAAATAAATGTAACCCTGGTCTCCCAGAGACCAGGTTTTGGAAACATACCGATGTTTCAAAATAAATGTAACCTTCTGTAGAGACCAGGTTTTCAAACCATACCAATGGTCCAAAATTTATTGTAGGGCAAACGATCGTATCCCCTCATTTAAATTAAGGATCCCATTTACGCGGTGGGTCCATGGGAAGCGCATGGACCACACCTTTTACAAAAGTTTATAAAAGGGGTTGAAGTACCCCCTAATCCCTATCTTGCCTTTTTCTTTCTGGAAAATTATGTTTTATTTTTCACTTATTCTCTATAGTTTAAATTGCCTTCTATTTTCCTTTTAATCCCGTCAACTTTCCGTCCTGATTCATTGGAGTGAGAGTTGATGAGATTAGAAGAAGAAGGAAAAATAATTTGGATTGTGGGAAATAAATGAAAAAAAAGAATACGAAATAAGGATTAGGAGGTTATTCGACCCTTTTTATAAACTTTGGGGGTCCGTGGGATTTCTATCGACGCTTGGGTTATACGGGATTGTT